TAGTCCAATATCTGTCCCTTAATTTTAAAACTCAGTCTGTGTGTATTCAATATCATATTATGTAACCTCAGATTTGCTTTTCTTTTCAATTTTTACACTATCAAACGCCTCAGATTTTATAATCTTAATTCCATTACCTTCTTTTCCATATTTACTTTCATTAATTTTTATCTTATTTGACTCCTTTTGATATTTTATTTTTATATTATTTTCTATCAATTTAATTGATTTTAAGGTTGTAAATACTGACTAAACATGGTAATATAATCTGGTTTTTGTTACATTTGCAGGTGTACTCAGTGTGCTTATTACAGATTGGTTTAGGTATCAATATATGTTTACCCTTCATAGGTTAATCACAATTGGTTATTTATCATATTTTCTTAATACTAAATAAGCTTTTAGCATCTTATTATATTCATATAGAAGACTACTCAGTAGCAATATAGAATAGGGGAGAATATAGAGGTCCTAACTGGAATAGGTTTAGTAGATGTTAAATGTGATAGGGTGTGGGACAGCAATTATAGTTATTATTGTGTTAGGAGTAACAGGATCTAATACCTAGTAACTACTCTAAGTATTATAACCACAAGTGGGATTAGACTCTTGGGAGTACTATGCCACCCATCAGTCCCTGTCAGGGGTCCATGTATCATAATACATATTTATCTCAGTTGCATCCAGTGATTATATTATCAAAGAATTTCCGGTGTCTAATAATATCTTCACAATCACTGCGGTCTCTCTGATACAATACAGCTCATGGAGTAAATGAGAGGGGGAAGCCTTAGCTAGGTCCAAGAAGTGGAATAAAGTAAGTCTGGTGACCACTCAGGGAGCTACTATGCTTTAAGAATGTATGCTCATTTGAAAGAGTCATAAGTGATGGGACAATTGCCAGGTCAGATATGGTATTAAAAATTAAGAAATATCTAGCAGAGCCGAATACCTTTGCTCCAATCCTGCAATATTTAAAAGCATATAGTACTTTGGGAAACCTACTGTAGATGCTAGTTGTCTTCACATAGTATGACAACCTGGCTCAGGAATACATGGTAGTGGTGGGAATGATTGTCTATACCAAAATAACAGCTGCAATACAGCTACTCTGAGCAATTAAGAGTTGCTGACTGTTGGATTATCTACTAGTCCGGTAGAATAGGTACTTAGGAATTAATAGAACATTATCGGGAAAATATCTGTTGGTTTGATTTGCAGTTATGAATGTTTTAGGTTGCCAACTTGGAAAGGTTAAAAGTAGGACTAGCTCTGCTGATACAACTCACCAATAAATTTGAGCATTTCATCAATTGGTGAAACAATTAGGACCAACTCAGTTCGACTCCAGAACCAGGCCACAAACACTGAAAACTCTGAAAATCAGATAATTCCTATTAGGAGCAATATAGTTTCTAATTAGTAAAATAGAAATTACCAAAAGAAATGTGGTGGCTTTCAGAATCTCCAGTTGCTCCCACTATGAAAGAGTACCTAATAGTACATGTTATAACACGCGGAGTCTATGATTTGTATAATAAATAAATGTACTATGTGAATCCTCGTATATAGAATATAGATATAAAAGTGCCTCTCCAGCTTTCGGCTATCAACAAGAAATCAATAAAAGAGCTTTATAACGTAATAGTATTCTCACAATTCTATCCTACTTTATCTACTTCACTTTCACCATAGTTGTTCTAAACGAAACGAGTTATACCTTAAGCCTTCCGTGACAATCTCCATCTACAGAAACAAATCATAGTTGGCTTAGACCACTCTGAGTCTATAGAGATTGTCTCTACCTCATGGATGGTATGCTTGCATGATAGTTTTGAGGGTAAACGCTTAGATGGGTATATATATCAGTTTACTATTTAGTTTGCAAGAAAATTGTCATATGAATTGAACTAGAACCTCTACATAAATCTCTAATTCCAACAGCATATAAGCCTTTGCACACTCCATATTGTTTACACAAAAAGAAATACCAATTTACATGCAGAGTCCAACAGGTGTAGGTCCTACAAATTTGTTCTCTTTACTTTTTCACTAAATCTGTTTCAAGATATTGCAGCTTTGTAATTCCTCACAGCCTACTAATAGTCTCCATGTATCTCCACCAGCATGTAATAATAATGTTGGCTAAGCAGGAAAGTAGAAATATTTGAGTAAGAAATAGACTTTGAGATTCTGAGGATCTTAGGTCTTAGAAGATACATGATAAGACAGATAAAGAGTCGACACGGTTTGCAACTGACAGTAACTATCCTGGTAGGTTTCTAGATTATTACTACATTACTCTTAAATGCAATTGAGCTATCAGCTTATGTTTACACATATCGGATGCTCATGAATACGATCTCAAAGTGAGAGCTTGAACAGCAC